TGCACGCACTCTCTATTACTGTAATAGTTTCATTGAACTGTAATTAATTTTGTGAATAAATTTTTTCGAGTGGATTTTTGTTGGCGGTTCAATTCCGAGTGTGTGAGCTGTGCAAGCTGTGCAAGCTCGAAAGTTGTTTTCTTATTTGTTGTTGTCGGCGGTCGGTTGAGAAATGCACTTGTACGAGATGCAGTCACAATTGATTCAACAATGCATTTTCAATGTCATCGTCGACTATCGATCAATGACACCACCGCACATAAATTGATTATTTTCATAGACATGCCAATTGAATGAAAAATGTTAAGGCGATAAGAAAAACCGTACTGCCGCCACCATCAAGCAGGAAGAGTGTAATGTGTCGTGTGTTGTTAAATTAGCGCGATTCACCCATGCAAATTGCGGCGAGTACGATTCGCATGCCGACAATTCAAAGCACAACTGTGATCTATTTTAATTGTCACATCACAATAAATAATGTCATAAAATCAAGAGAGAAATATTAAAATCATTGTCGTACATGCGCCAGAAGCAATACCAGCTAGACTCCGGCAAACAAACAAAGAACATTATAAATAAAATAAATGATATGAAAAGAGACGGCGGAGAAGAAAACAAAACCGAGGCGCACACACAATGCTGAATATGCAGTTTGAACTATGACTGTGAGAAATGATTCACAAGATAATGCTCAATCATACGACACAGAGCGCGCGAGCGCGACAACAACTGCAATTTTTTTCTTCCACTTTTTCTTCCGTCTGTATGACTTATTGTTGTTGTTGGACGTGCAACGCACATTATTTTTCATTACGATTCACGCGCTTAATTGAAAAATGGCGTTTTATTCGCAGTTTACTTACGATTCTAATTGTCGTTACACTCAATTTAGTTTTGGGTTCACAAAAGTCGTTGTTCGCACTCGTGCCAGCCAACTTTTTCTTCTCTCAATCTCTCACTCACACTTTTTTTCCCGTTCGATGTGCCACAACAAAGATACACGCAATTAATTTTGATAAATTTACATGTAATGAACACGCGCTGCACAAATCCAAGCATATCCTCTTGTTCACCACCACATTTGGTGTAGATTTTTTTTGCTCGCCTTTATTGAAATTTATGCTCAGTTTCAAGACATTTCTGGGTGATTGTCATCCATATGGCCGAATACTAACCCATAAAATGCTAAAACATCTTTATTTGGCCAATTATAAAACAATTAATGGCTATCGTCCATATAACGCTCTCTTTGTCACCCAAATATAACTGGAATTAATTCGATTTATTCATACACACTCACAAAACTATCGAAACGCATCCATTTCGATTGGAAGGAAAGCCGCTTCGAGTGACTCGATCGAAATGCCATATCGAAATAATTCATACGAAATTAAGTCATATGGAAATGTTTATTAAAATTCCTTGGTGTCATCATAAATAGTGTGCTGTAGTGCTTATGAAATCACACTCGCCCCAATACACTATGATCGTATGCGGTTTTTTTTCTCGAAATGTTTGCACTGAATGAAATATTGCCATTCAAATGGTTAGAAGCGGTTACAAATTTATTTACATATTTAAATTGGCCGATAGAAAAGTGCATACGAATCAATTGGAAGCGATTAAATATTTCAAATTCAATGCTATGCGAACCAAATCGCACCGAACAGATAAAAAAAGAGTTGCAACTGCAAGCCATTTGATCGAAATGTGTACGGCAACGATATACAATATATCCGGTATAATCATAGATCAATGAGCAACAACAAAAAAACGTAAACAAGCTGCCGCATTTTTTTCCTCTTTTTTCCCATACGGCACTCTCACGAAAAACCGTATTCGATTTGCTCAAGTGGCGATTTGTCACGATTTATTTTGCGTTCGCTAGTGTGTGTGTGATTTCGATTCGTTTCGAAGGCGCTAAATTATAATTAATAGAAGCTACTGTCCAATTAAATTCACACTGAGCGACCAATTCTTTTTTTAGAGCGTATTCAAAATTGTTCGAAATTTTGTTGTTGTTGTTGTTTTCGAATGGCCGCATGAGCTAATAAAAAGTGCAATCAAGTCGAAATTAATGGCATTATTGCAGAATGGCCAAGTAACAGTGAGATGCTGAATGGTATATCGTAAAAGTTTCTATAGTTAAACACAACAGAAAAAGCGTAGAACGATGATGCCATTTTTTCTGTTACTAACTCTACAATGACCCATTCGACATGTGTGCAACTCAACCTACCAACTGGCCGAACATTTCTATTAAAGTACTTTCAACAGGTCAATGTGTTGGCGTTGTAACCGAAACATTGGCTTTCGCCGATTTACACGAACGAATTTTCGATGGAATTTCTATTTCGCGTAATCATACGCCGTTTGATGCGGTTGTTTTGAAGACCGGCACGTGAAGTATCCAACGAAATTTGCATAGTAAAGCGAGATCATACGGTTTATATGCCAAATGGTGTAGAATTAGCGCCATAAACTAAAAATAGCGTGCGCTTATGTTCATTGCAAAATAAAACTTTGAATCCATCGAAAAGTTCATCTCGTGATGCGATTCATTTCCAAAACAAATGTTGACTATAACACCGAATTTGGAGCACATCTTACGGTTTATTGATTCATCCTTCGTCTAAAGACGAATTTGTTTCCGTCAAGAACGTCAAATGAAAACAAAACACTTCAAGAGTTTTTATTCGACCAAAATGGAAGTTGTGAAATATAGTAGGATAGCAAATGAATTTGTTCCGACCAAAATTAGCGGAAAAGACCAAAAGTTAAATTAAAAAACCAAGGAAATAAAAATATTTTTCAATCGTCGAACAAATCGATGCAAATTCTGATTTAAATCGAATTCTTCGGGATTCGAGTGAGATTACCAATCGAATCGATTGGATTGGATCGAATATTTTGATCGAATATTGATTGTGTTGAGAGATCAAAGTGTTGTACAATTTGCCGGAAAATCAAGTTTACAGTGAATTGTAAGTAACAGTTAATCAAATGTCTTGGAAAAGCGTTTATTGCAAAGAAAATATCAGCGATCGGTTGAAAATACACATCATGATAGTTTGGGTATCACGGAGGAATAGTTTCTTTCTGCCGAATGTAGTAAAATAGTGGTAAAATGTGGGCCAAAGTAGTAAAACGCATGAGCTCAGTATCATTGGATTCTCCAGAGATGCAATAGCTATCCTATACTATAGTCGGAATAGTTACAAGTCTAATAATAATCGTTGTTTCTCGTCGACTTGCGTAATGCTTTCAGACATTTATTGAGATGCGATGCGATGCGATCATTGTACACAGTGTTCGCTCCATTCACAGTTTGGCAAAAATGAAAAACATATGCTGCGAACGTCAGATCAGATCGTTCTGTTCTGTATGTGACCAAAACCATTCGCGTTCGAAGATTTCAACAGCGCGAGCACACAATTATTATAAATCGATGCGATGGCGAGCGAGTGCGTAGCAGTTGCGGGTGTGAGCAACAGTTGAAAGGGAAGAAGAATATTTGATTTGGCATTGAGTTTTGGTGAAATCGCAATTTGTGTAACCAAAAACCAATATTAATCATACGGAAGTGTGTATGTGGCTTCAAATTACTATTTTCCTATTTAATATTTCATTCATATTTACTCTGCTTGGTTCTTGTGTTCTACGCGCGCGATTCATCGTCAATCCAATGAATACAAATGTTAATTTAATTGATTGCATGTGTTCGCCCTTTGGACTGGAATCTTGAACCATTCAGTAAATTTAAAATAATGCTTTTTTTTCAATTTAAAGCTCGACAATCGAATTTAAACCCGTTTTTCGTGTGTAATTTTTTTTGTTCGGTCCATTATCGAATTGTGAGTATTGTCATTCGAGCAATTAAATTAATCAAAAAATTATGCGACGAACACATTTGAATTACTCGTCAATCGCACGCAACCGCGCGCGATCGTATGACTCACAGATCGCTTTATTTTTGTACAGCAACCGACATATACTTTAATTTGGCAATGAACAGTCAGAATGATAGACAGGAATTCGAATAACTAAAGCAAACGGATGAAATAGACTCCGAAATTCCAGTTGTAAACGGTCATTTGTCGTACAATTACAACATCGATAAAAATTGATGTGAATTCGATAAATCGAAACATGCGCATAAATTTGTCGTTAAATTAAAAATATTGAGCACGGTTCGAGGGGCATTTATTATCCAATAAATAATGTAAAATTGCGTGTAAGACAACCGTTTTCCGCATACAAGATCACACTTCGATTGAATAACATTATATACTGGTTGCTCTGTGGTCTTTCTCTCTCTCTCTCTCTCTCTCTCTCTCTCTCTCTCTCTCTCTCTCTCTCTCTCTCTC